GGTCGCGTAAATAAATTTCGATTCCTTTCCGCTTGACCTCAATCTAGAATTCCATAAGAGGGTACACCTTTTAAACAAGGTTGGGTAAAAACGCTTCCTGTTCAAGTTTTCTTTTACTCTACTCGCTATCTTGCTATTAAATTTGTGCATAACAATTGTAACATATGGTTTCTTAGTTAGCTTTGTAAGTAATTAAGTTTCAACAATTACATGAAATGTTTAATTTTTTATTTTATCTCGAATCTATCAGGGTATTTTTAAGGTCATTATGGAAATGAAAAATGATCAATGTAATAGTACAAAAATGTATCGACATTAAAAATAAACAATATTGTAGAATACATTACTTTCATATATGTGTAACTTTTTTTTTTCATACATGCTTTCTTCTTACAATAACGTACGAATTACTAGTGTGGTTAGAATGGATTGTCCAGCAAGCCTTAGGAAACTTTAAGGTTGTAAAGATATCAATTTATTCTTACGATGTAATTAATTTAAATTAAGGTAATGTTCAGTTATAGATATAGTTGGTAATGAGTCTTATTTTTTCCGAAAATAATAGACTTGTCACATTGTAACAAAGGTCATAAGGGAGTAGTGGGGGGTGCATTTCACATCCGTTAAGGAACTCCTATTAAAACAGGTTTGTCATGGTTTGGGTAACGTCTTCTAATATATATTTTCCTCTCTATATTTTAGCGAGATATGGAGGGAGGGCGGGGCTTTCGGGATGAAGTTCCCCCTCCCCCCAGCATGGTAAAATATAACCATGTTTTATTGAAAAAATTATCTCTTAAAGTATTATTATTCGTGTAGTTGCATTTAATAGGACTTCAAGAATCACTTAAACACTATTTCAAATAAGTAATTAGTTTCTTTCTTTTTTTCCCAAGAAATTATCGTTATATACATGAAATGAAAAGCTTTCAAGCAGAAGTCCCCCCACCAAATTAAATCCTGGATTCGCTAGTGGATTCAGGGACTCCTCTGTCTCTAATAAATTAAAATTCAATGGATTCGGATAAAAACGCCATGTCCAAGTTATTTTTGGTAGTGGCACCCAGATTTTAAACTTTTTGGTGGTTCCAACTTTTCTCTAAGACACATGCCAATTTCATCAATTAAATTCAATGTGAGAAAACAAATTCTCCAGCTCAATTGATTTTAAAATTCTTTTCATTTCCTTTATTTTTTCGATATTATGCACGGAAATAAAATAGTGTAATTTTTTTTTTTTTTTCAATAAGTGTACATCTTAAATAAAATTACGAAATCTGTTTTATAATAGAATTACATACAGTATAATTTTTACATATAGAATTCTTAATATCTAGTAATTACTTTGCACCAACTAATAAAAAAATTGAACTATTCCTAAATTTAATTCTAGGTTTTCAGTCGGATGCATACCTTTGCATCCAAAAACAATACTAGTGTCTACAATGCTCCAAAATATTCAATACTAATACAATCAATACTCACTTCCTAGAATTATTCCACATTTTTCCTCATTGAATGTCATAAAAAAAAACCTATGGCTATCAAAATAAACGTTTAATTTTCCAAATAGGTTTTGTATGAGAAAAGAACCCAACTATAAAATTGAGATATGCAGATATGGAAATGAAATCTATAATTGAACAAATAGTATTAATTATAAAACAAAAAAAAAAAAACTGTACTGCTACAATTTCTGAAGGGTCTTATGCTCACTACTTGTAAGGAAGCACTGTTTCAGGGACAACCATTGGTTAAGGAGGTGAATGAGGTCAGATCATAACCAACTTCCATTTTTCTTTGCCCATAATTAATAATTTAATTATGATTACCCACATTATAGAGGCATGGTTTGTCCCACTAGTCTCCTGATCTTATGTTCAATCCACAGCTGATATAACAGAATAATTACCTTTTAATTAACAAAGTAATTACTGGCCACAGCCCAACTCAAGAATCTTGAACATACGAAGTCAGTGTATTATCCACTGAGTTCCCCTTCATGATTAATTTCAAAATCAATTATAAAATTGTAGATAAAATGATAAGTATTCATTAAATTACGTAAGAAATGACTTACTTTACTTGAGGTACATAAAAGTTAATAGGCAATATTGGCAATAAGCATCACTCCTTTTCTTAATAAAACCTAAGAGAATAAAGGGAAGGGTAGGAAAGGTAATTAAAAGCAATACTAAAAAGTGAGAGACCAGATCAATTTTATTCATTTGTTTTACAATTTTTTCCACAATTTTGTAAAAATAAAGCAGTATCATCTATATATAAAACAAAAATAATAATAATAAACTATATTCTCACTAATTCTACTGTAATTGAACAAGAGTATATATTTTTGACTTCAGTGAACTCATCCTTTATAATTATTTTTAATCTTATCGACTACATAGCAAATGGCATCATTATATTGTACTTGTTTCTTAATAGAAAAAAATAAATATATCAAAAAAAAGAAAAAAATAACAGCCAATAACAAAAGTTATTATTGTTAGCACCAATCAATACAGAGGAACTAGTATGTTGTCATATTTAAAAATAAGGTTTAATAAAAAAATTAGGTTATTTGTGAATGATATACTTTTTGGACTCGTAACAAAAATATTTTCGACAAGAAAATTTCAGGTACCTTGGAATATTAAGATGATATGAATGTTTTCGAAACAAGTAACCAGATTCTGCCATTCAAGTTGGAAAAGTTACACTAAAATAGCTATTGTAAAAATACATTTAAGATCACATATTAATGCGGTAACTGACACACTGTAAAGACATATAAATACGATTGAGGGGTGCCCATAACTACAACCTCTCCAAAGATGATGGTACATGCTTCCTTCCTAAAACTCCTCTCCTTAAATATGGTGCAAATGAAATTATAAAAATTATAGATTAGTTTTCCTTTGTTCCTTGGTTTGAAAGTTTTTCCCACTTGAAATGCTCCAAAATAGGATTCCCTCCAAAAATATTAAAAACTAATAAAAAAAAAAATAATAATATTAATATTAAAACATTCATAATCCCGAAAATATGTGCTCCCTCAAAAAATCATAACAATATAAAAATGTGCTCCCCTCAAACATTTTAAGGTTCAGCTTGTGCCATGGATCTCCTTTTGGGCACCCCTGGTACTATTTAATTGCTCTTAACTTGAACACTTAAATAATTATCACTAAAAAATATTATCATATTTATAGAATATAATGTACTACATAATTAACTTCGGAATGAGGTATTTCAAAACCTGGAAATATTTGCAACAGCAAACTGGAAGATGTTTGAATTCACAGTAAATTTTACATTTAATATAAGTGATACGATATGATTTGAGGGGTTACTATATATTTTATTCTGAGAAGTAGGAGATCTGCAGTTTAAAATAGAAGAAACTTCAAGTCTAACTTCTTCTCATAAAGTATACTTCATTCTATAGTTTAAGATGCTAAATTATTTCTCTAATTACGTAAATAAGTAAAGCAGAAGAACTAGGCTTGTAATTTTAGACCATGAATAGTAACAAGTTTTAAACAATTTTTAAAAAAGTGAGAAAAGTGTTATTTACATTACTATGACCTGATAGTTCTTAACCAGAATGGGAGAGAAATTTATAAATTCTATATCTTTTCAACATTGATATAACGTTTCAGAGACAAATGAGAGGTAAGTTGACATTTTATAGCCTCACATCTCTGTTATCTTCTTTTGTTTATCACATTAGCATATGGCATTAATATAATGCAAAACTCTTTGGCAAGTGAGTATGTTTACTTATTCTGAATGGCATTAAGGAGAACATTTATAAAATTAATAAATACTAATTTATAATGTTCTTTTATGTAAATATTTATATTTAGTTCTAAATAAATGAATTACCTTTCAAAATATGTGATTTCTTAAATGAATAAACATATTTTATAGAGGTATGCAAGAAAATATTTTTAGATGCAAGTGAGTGGAGTAATTATTTTTAGGTAAAGGCGTGCTGACCACAAAAAGGTTAAGAACCACTGCTGAAGATTGTCATGAGTCTAAAAATAGAGCCTTTCTTCAATTTATAATGTTTTCACCTTTGCTAAAAATTCTATAAAATATAAACTATAGTTTTTTAAAGTAAAAGTGAATAAATATTACTTCTGCAAAACAATAAAGTGTAGTTATTTTTATCTGCATTATAAATTTCAAACATACTCATTAGGAGTTGTTTGTAGCTACATAAGAAAAAAAATAGTTTATTTGTATTGTATAATTAAAAGTAAAAGTATAAAAAATAAATCTATATAGGAATAATTTAAAATAGCCATTCCATTAATTAAAAGCTACACTCTCATTCTAGTGTTTTTTATGTAAGTAAACCAAATAATTTACACCCTATCAAGTTTTTATAATTACACTATTTATTCCCTAAAGCAGTAAGTTCATAAGTTACAACATTTATCTGACTAATAATTAAATATAAACTCTAACATAAAACAGTAAAACATAGTTTATTGAGTAGAAAAAAATTTGATTTAATATATAAATTTTTCGATATTTAATAGTTAATGATGTATATAATTAGATAAAAGAACATCCGAGGGAGCAGTCAAAAATAAAATTCAAATAGTGTAAATATTTGTTTTTATTTCTGACTGGATTCCCAACCACTATCTTGATTTCATCAAGGGACAGCTATATTTCCATGAAGATATAAATATTAATTTGTAATAAAATAATACATACATTATCTCATATTAAATATAATTTCTTAATCACACTTTAAAGCAAGAAGAAATCTAAATAAACCTCTTTACTAATTATTATTTGAAACATAAAACAAAAAAAAAAGTTATTTATCACAAGAAAGTTTCTCTAGAATTTAGCTTCTATATATTTTTAAATGGAAAATTACTGAATAAATATTAAAGTTCTTAAACAAGCTATTTCAATCTAAATTATTTTATAAGTAAATAATAAGTTTATAATCTTTGGAAATTAACTAGATCAGTCTGTTAAATTATTTGTTTACCCTCTAAAGTTTAACAAAAACTTTTATTAAAACAACTACGTTTTATAAGTAGTATATGTTGTTATTGTTTTTTAGCTAAACAATTGCCTTTCATACATCATTTTAAAAATGCGATGAATAAACATTATGCCAAGACTAATAGATTAATGTTTCTTTTCTTTGAATTTAACAAGTGATGCAATGAACGGTACAACTACTAACAAACAAAAATGAGTAAAAATGTTATCTAAAAAGTGAAATAAGTAAAACTGAAAAGGATCATTATTTGGCATCAAAGGTCGGAGCATCTTAGCACCTATAAAAAATAATGATGTAGCTGTTACTCCAACTATGGGATAGAACTTCCTACAAAAAAATAAAATAAAAATAATAATAAACTTTATACATTAAAGACTATTTAATAATTATAACAACTTAAGACTGGTGGTACATCTAAGTAGATAGGTTGAGTACATATAAAAGTACCTCTCCCTTTAAAACCAAGTGCTGTTTTAACGACTAGATGGTTAATTGATCAGTAAGTGAAAAACAAACAATGAGATCACAAATTTATAGATAATATGCAATAATATTCAAATTATTCATAAAAAGCTCCCCATAAATATTATTATTTGTTAATAACATTATGTGGAACTGTAGTGGATTCAGGTAATGTACAAGATTGGAAGTAACAGTCATAAAGAAACTCATAAATAGAGTTCATTTTTTAATAATCCTTTTTTTCTCGATAAACTTATTTAAACAAGTTTTAAAGCTCACTTTAAGTGTTATTTTTATAAGTGGTATACCACTTCTAACTTTCTTAAAAAAAATTTTTTTGACTCGTAGCCTCAAGTTCTAACATATTCATTTTGGAGAAAATACCAGCTAATACTACACCATGAATTTATTTCCCTTCTTAATGCTTTATCACTTTTAATTCTGTCAAATGTATATTTGCTACCTCTCCACCAGCATATCCTAGTGATCCTGCAATGTCTGATTGTCAACTCAGATCACCAAAAATTTCTAATTCTTGTAAATGAAAAATTCGTTAATATCTAGTTATTATGATTTTAAAACTAGTCAATTGTATCTCCACCTCTTTCACTCTAATTTAAGTCATCTTTTAAAATGGTTAAAATTGTCTTATGTAACAAATTTATGTCAAATATGACTATTCACAGAATGAAACTCGAGTAATAAGTGCAAGTGGTTGTTCAGCAGATGGGTCATAAAGTGAGGAGTATCTTTAATAACTAACCCAGGTTTAATTATAGGCTTTTGAGATAGATTATAAACCCACCATAATTTGATAGTAGATTGATAAAGATGATTTTATAATGTTGCTAGTCTTCATAAGTGGAATTCATTATTTATACCATCCATAAGTAAATTATAACACAAAATTTAATTATTACTAACATTTATAGATTTAGTATTTTCTAACACAATTCACTTAGTAAAATATGTTTTGAAGCAATTTATTTTTTAAAATAAGTTGGTAAATAAATATAATCTTAACACTAACCTTTCCTTAACAGGACTAGCAATAGCCATTGCAAAAAAACACCCACAGTCTCTGACAATTGAGTATAAAGGAGTAGTATTTACGCTTATCAAATGTGGCCTTTCACACCATTTGAAAGCCAGCTTGATACTCCAACCTGGATCTAGACCTGAAATTATAAGGTAGCTGGCTAAACTCTAAAAAATGTAGGCAAAGAACAATCAACTACAAATATACTTTCTAACAGCATGTTCTAAACTGCATAAACACATTAATCAACAACTTGTTTATAAGTGAATATTGCTAAAAACCATAGCTATAATTTTTTTACTGAGACCGTGACCACAGAGAGCCTTAAGACATAATAATCTTTGTAACGTGGAGTTTAAGAGAGTGGGGTTTTGAAATTTTTTATCATTGTTGACTCACAGAATGAATCTTAATCTTCCCACTCAGGTTGAAATAGGTTGGTTATCTATAGGATCAACTTCATTTCTCTATCATTAAACATTTTTATTAACATTCTTAAGAAAATTAAAATGTTTATATTCTTTCTCTAATAGTTCAATAACGAAAAATCATTGACAAACCAATGACCTGGCACTCTTACCTAAAACTTGATGAAGAAAGTAACATGCAACAGCTACTGATGTGCCTAAAAACGCTAACAAGATCATTTTCCATTTTGAAAGTGAGAAAAATTTTCTGCAGAGTGTCCATTTAGCATCTTTAACTAATAACATTGAAATTAACAGTCCTGAAAAAAATTATTATTAAAAATATATAATGAAATAAACTAAAATCCATACTGATATGAAAGAATTATAAACCTATTATTGCACCCAAGAGACACTGGTGTATAAAATGTGCAGCAATATTCACTCGTGATAAAGTCACCAAACAGACTATTATTAAATAAACCATCCACAAAAAAATTCTCACAGCATTTCTGAACCTTTTTCTGGAAAATAAAAAAATATGATGATACATACATACACACACTTTATCAATGAATATAGATTTACATATTATCTCTCACATTATATATTAGTCTCATTTATTAAATAACGGCTTTGAGTGATGTAAGATTACCTTGTCACTAATCATGTTTTAAGTTCTAACAATGTTCTTTAAGAAACTAAAACCTTAATATAGTTTTGAACGTACATAACTAATAATTTACCAGAAAAAAATATAGGTACATTTCTTTATTTTTAATATTAAAAGGCATTCTTATTTCTTTCTTTAGGCCTTCCTCGCCTTTTAGGCTATAACCCTTGGTTTTTCTATGCCAGAGAGTTTGGACAGGGAATTAATGCCTCCCACATCACCTGGACCCGAACTCATAATTATTTTATCACCTATAACTTTGGTTATCAGGTTGCTGGGCAACGTGTGTTGTTCACAAATGTTGCCTCGCTCGGCCACCCAGTCCCCATTAAAAGGCAATCTATAAATCCTGTTTAAAGTTTTAAATATTTTACTTAATATGATTATTTAAAAAACAATATTTACCGAATGGGCAGGTTCTTGCTCCCCTAAAATATGGTATGGTCTAACACAAAGTATAAGAACATACATATTCGTTATCTCATATAACCTTTATTTAATTTATAATTATTGGTGGTTTTTTAATGTCAGCATTAACAGTTTATATGGAATGTCAAATTATAAACACGTTAAATTGATTATAAACAAAAAATTACTTATTTGGGGGAACTATTTCAGACATCCAACAGGTCAACCATCGTAGAAATACATAACTCAAAGCAGCAGCACCCATCACATGTCCTGAAGGAGAGCCAGCTCCTGTTTCGCAGGTAATATCAGTTTGTCGAAGAGGAACATGTACCTTCGCCTCAGCGACCCACCAATAGGGTCTATTCTCAGCAAGAAACCTATATGCAATTCAACATAAAAATTGTTTAGTATATTTCTATCAGTTGTAAATAATGATATATTATATTGAAATCTAATGAAAATATAATAGATTGATTAAATAAATTAGAATGAAAGCCCTGTTATTAATACAAATTATTTCATTCTTACTACAGAATACAAATTATTGCTTACAAGAAAGTATAGTAATTCAATTCCTTTTTCATATTTTAAAACTAAATATTAAGAAAATAAAGCTACACTGATGGTCTTAATAATATATTCAGGTAATACCAGACTTTTACAAAACAAACTGGATAAAATAAATAAAACGATGAATATTAATTTTAGTTTAAAAATAAGGTCTACAAAAATGACATTAGCAAATTTTTTTCCCCTATCAAAATGAACATAAGGTATGAGAAAAAACTAAATTAGCTTATTAATCAATTGTAAAATCACTTTGAATGCTAACTTGCTCAATTTATTACTTATGAGGTACAGCCAAGTAGTAATAAATAAAGTAAAAGAAAATCCTTATTTAATTTACTACATTAATTATTTGAGTACTCAATAACTAAGACAGCTTTATAAGAATAATTTCAAAAACCTTTAAAATATGTAACTACGGTAATTTGGCATTTTAGATAGCTTTCATTTTTTACCTCATAAATTGTATTATTTATAATTCCTCATTGATGTTTCGAAGAAACACTTCTCGTCTTAAGAACATTCTTAACTTGTGATTATAAATTAGTAAAGATAAAGTAATTTGAATAAAATTTATGTACTAATGTGTACATTAAAAGGTACAACAACCTGTGCCTTGCATACTATATTAGCTAAAACTAATCCAGTCAGATAAAGTTGTATTTAAAATGCCAATTATCTGATTTAAATATACACTTAATAACAAATTTGAATATAAATAAAATATATAATTACGTCAAAACGCAAGACAACTCACCATTTTAAAAGAATATTTGCCCATTCAGTAACAGATGAAACTAATAGAACATAGAAACCCACTTTGGTATCAAGAGAACAAAATACTGGAAATAGTATTGATATAGCATAAGATGGGTCACTGTACTTCGAAACTTTTCTAAGGAAATCATTGTTTTCACCAAATCTGTTTGATAAAAACAAGATAAGTACAATATAATGAATGCATAAATGAAAAAAAAGTTATAATTTAAATAATCAAACCTCTAAACTTTACTTCTATTGTTATATTTAATAATGTGAATATTCAAAACTTATATTAATGAATAGTACTTACATATTTTGTATATCAAGAATAAAGTTGGCTTGGTATAGTAAAAAATTATGAGAAATTGAATTCATTTTGACTGTATTTTATGTTTAACTGCTCTTGAAATGTATTTTCATGTTGCTTCCATTTTCACCCTCTACAACACAACCCCTAGGAGGGTGAATTATTGACTTTTTGTACAGCACCCCAACTTACCACACCTGCTGCTACTGGCTCATACCAGTTGCTTAGTAACAGAGAAATATTAAATGAATCATTATTTAATGAATACCCTCCTCACCATAAAAATTAATAAAATTTTCCAGCCTTATGTCTTTCAAGGGCAAATGTTGACTGATAACTAGGATGATAAAGATGGCAGTTACACTTATCACTTCAGATTACAATCATATAAATGATTGCAACAATTAACAAATTTGAACAACTAATCCTCCAATTTAAAAATTGTGATAACATTTCATTACTAAATATAAACAATATTGCAAAATACCTTAACTGCTTGAATATAAAACATAAAGCAAAGGTGTGTTAAATATAAACCTTAAATGTTGAGAGCTAAGTTAACACATATTTGTGAATACAATACAAATAAATAAATAATACCTAAAATAAAATCAGTAATTTTCATTACTTTAAAGAATTTAAAATAATGCTCATATTTAATGTAATTGTGAAATAGGTAAAATAAAAGTAAAAATAAAATTTCAAGTTTTATTTATAAATAGATATTACACCTGATTGTTTCTAACTTCAATGAGTTAGTTAACTGAAAATTAACAAGATGATGCATGATTTCATTACATTTAGGGAAAATGACCTTTTTAGCATCTATACAAATATGTACACATATTTTTTAATTTGACTAAATACTGTAACTTGAACACTACTTCTTCAACATCTGATGTCTGAGTACAATGAAGGGTGCAGCCAGTCCTGAACCAAAAAATATAACGAACAATGCAGTTAATTTAAAGCGATTGTCCAGGCTGAAGGGCAAATTCTGAAAACAATAGGATTCATGAGATTCTGTTCAAGCATGGAATAAATATTTTTGTATTTATACTTATACTTATAAATCAAACTAACCTCTCCGGGAGTTCCTCCATGACCACCTCGCCTAACGGCTGAAGTTGTGAAATTTCTGGCAATACTGGCAAATCTTGATGAAAACATAATTACTAGAATTTCGAAAAATAACCACACGATCAGAAGATAATTTAGGTGAAAAATCAGCTGACAGAGTAGCAGTAGGATAAAATCAGTAATACCAACATTCTATACCAATTATCGTAAAGTAATAAGAATTACATTAAAAAAAATAACATGAATAGTATAATCTATCACCTTCTAAATTTTGCAAATGTTTAATAATACCTTTTAAAATTAATAGTTACAAGATTGGAAAGGTAGAAAAATGATTAATTTCGACTAATAACTTAAGTAACAACAGATTATAATTCAGATTATATTAATTCAGATCATAAATCTGATCAACAGCATGTCATGTTAAAATTAAGTGAGTATTAAATATTTTAATGTTTCACACTCTTGACGAAATCTATCTGTGTGAACTTTTAAAACTGCTATTAATAACAATTCCAGCAAGTATCATAAATAACAATATACGATACAAAATAGAGTGTCTATCATCTTTGGGGAGAGGGGCACTTAAATACCAATTTATCCGTTTGTTTGTGTAGATTTTTTAACAAAAACAAATTAATGTTTCCTTCTGATTAAAAAAAAATGTATGTAAAGTTTTTGCAGTAAAATTGTCATTGAATACATAAAAACCAATAAGTAAATTAATAATAATTATAATTATAGTGGAAGAATGCCACCTGGGCTGTGGAGAGAAACCAAGAGCCACAGACAGGCACAAGTATTCTCGGTGGGACCCCCCCCAACTATAAAATCATCTCCTTATTGGGCGCCTTAAATGGTCTATATTATTGAAGCAATATAATTGAAAGCAATATATTGAAGGGGTACTTCACATGGGTCGATTATATTGAGTCAATATTATATCATTTTATATCAACAGGTATATGATATATAGAATAGAATAGAAAAGAATTTTATTCTGAGATGAAGTCCCTTTAGAATAACAAAAAAGTACAAAATTAAAATGTTATATCTCATTCATTCATGTGTGGCACGACATCCCGTTACCGAGACTGGGCCTCCTCCAAGAGCCTCCGCCAGTTGGCTCTGTCTTCTGCTGCAGCTCTCCAGTTCCGTACACCAAGCAGGGTTCTCGCATCATAGGCCACGTTGTCCAACCACCTCGTCCTCGGCCTTCCTACCCGTCTTGCGAGGTGCAGCTCCTCCATCATTATTTTCTTGGGTATCTCAACGGTGCTCATTCTGGCCACATGCCCTGCCCATCTTAGTCTGGCCAGTTTAATATAGGTGACTACGTCGATGTCTGCATAGAGAGAACTGAGCTCCCTATTTTTTCTTTTCCTCCAGACATCACCCTCCTTTACTGGACCATAAATCCTTCTGAGGACTCCTCGCTCAAACACACTCAGCTTCATCTCATCGTTTTTGGTCATCGTCCAAGCCTCTGAGCCATATGTCAAAACAGGCCGAACAAGAGTCTTGTATATGATCAGCTTGGTCTTCTTTGAGAGGTACCTACTTCTTAAGTGTCGGCCAAGTCCATAGACACATCTATTGGCAGCCGTGATCCTTCTTTGTATTTCTTGAGCCATGTCATTTTTGCTATTAATTTCAGACCCAAGGTATATAAAACTTTTCACTCTCTCAAACTTAAAAGAACCTACCTCAAATGGAGAGTTCAGATCCACCTCACCACCAACTCTCATATACTTAGTTTTCCTCTCGTTGACTTCTAGACCAAGTGGTCTTGCAGCTGCTTCAAAGCCTATAAACGCTTCTCTGAGAGCCTGTTCAGACCTACCTATTATGTCAATATCATCAGCAAAACCAAGAAGCTGTGTCAGGCGATTGAAGATTATATCGTTGGTCTGAATACCGGAGTCTCTTACAGCTTTCTCCTCTGCCAAGTTATATGGTTATATCTGTTATATCAAAATGTTATATCTGGCCAAATAAAAACAAACATAAAAAATAAACATAATAAGTAAGTAAGTAAAGAAAATATTAGTTATACATACTATATACAAAACTCTTGAAACCTTGCCAAGACACTTAAAATTATGTACAATGGAAAAATATAAATATACACTTTAAAAAAAAATACATTAAATTCTTCTTAGCAGTAAACTCTGTGTTCCTATTGAAAAAAAAGAAAGTCGAATCTGATAATATAATAATCTGATATGTATTTAATTGATGAACTATATGTAAATACATTATTATGAATAATATCTTATTTTACATAAAAGATTAGTGGGTATCTGACTGTTTTTGGGACAGGAATTATAATAGGAGGGTTTTGAATGTAGATAGGAATGAATAATGCGGAATTTTGATAGGAGGGGAATTCCAAAAATTAACAGAGCGAGCAATAAAGGAGTTTTGGAATGAGACGGATCTGTGAGAAGGAATGTAAAGGTCAGAAGGTCAAGATCTTGTAGAAAGGGAGTGGACTGAGGACTTGAAGTGGAGAAGGTTGTAGGCATAAGAAGGTTGACGATATGATAGAGGAACCTACCTAGGAAATATTGTCTTCGAATAGAGGGGAAGAGCCACTCTAACTCAGTGTAGTGGTGAGAGACATAGGAGTATCTCAGGGCACCAATTACAAATCTCACGCAACTGTTCATTAGTCTTTTCAGTCTGTCACAGAGCTCCACCAAGAGTCCATCATACACCACACAGCTGTAGTCAAAGTGGGGGAAGATGAGAGAAGAAACCAGGAGTCGACGCTGAGGTAGGAGATGGCGGAAGCGATGGAATAGTTTGAAGTTAGTAATTGTCCGTTGGGAGATGTGAGAAATATGGTGATTCCAGGAGAGGGTTTGATCAATGAAATCCATCTTATTCAAAGTAAAATAAGCCATCTGCCATTCCAAAACCTCTAATTTTAAAAGTGTTGGTAAAATGAAGAATTTCAAAATATCTGGAAATGATTAATTCCAGGATGGATGAAATATTGACAAACATAGGCAACTACTTATGAAAATTATTGTAGGAGGCCAAACTACAGAATCACAGGTTGGTGGAGAAAAAGAAAGAAAGCTGGAGAAGGTGAGGATATTGTTTGGAATATACCCTATATGCCTATATGCAATATATATATATATATATATATATATATATATATATATATATATATATATATATATATATATATTGTAATGTACCCTTTGTCAACATAAATCAAACAACGAGTTTCCTTTTTCAATATATTATTTATTTTAACACATAACATCAATTCTCAGGTTGGGTTCTGACAACTGAACACTCATTCAACATTTAATAACTACAATGTACACTAATTTACTAATTACTAACTACACTTATTTATAATTTAAAATATTTTATAAAATAATTTGTCCCGGTCTAAACTTTTGGTTCTATCCCTCTGTCAACATAAATGGCATTGTTAGCACTCACCCAAATGTTTACGCCTGTCAGCGAAATAATCACTTCTTACGAATGTCCCGTTTTCTGTACCACTTAATTATTTTCTGCTATGTTGTTTTCTTCCAACATAAAATAATCTTCACTAGTGGCCTCTATCAACACTCGAACCGGCTAGGACTCATTTTTCCATCCTCAGCTTGTCACCTCTCTTGGCGGCTCATAATCTTCTCTCTTGGCCGCAAGCACCTTCCCTCCTGGCGGCCTGTCACATTCTGAGTTACATGAGGCTTGCTTCCCCCACCATCCGCACGCGCGCCACTATTTAAATGCCATATAATGTTGACATTACAATATATATATATGTCTATATAAAAAATTACTATCTCAAGCAGATATTGAGTTATTTCAAGCCCTACCTCATGTGAAAAAGTGTTAAGTCACACAAAATACTTTAAACTAAAATAGTATGGTTTTCTAGGGTGATTCATTTTACATCTTAGTGAGTTTATGAATCCAAAATAGGACACCAATAAACAAAATCTACAATACCTGCTAGTGCAGTCTTTTGTAATGTGTGATATTGATATATTTATGAATTTCATACTACAGCAATTTGTTGGGAAAGGGAATTGAGCCTTCACAATGACAGCATTGAGGGAGGAGGGAGGAGGGGAGGAGAGGGACTCAAGCCCTGCAAGCCCCTAGTATCTATGTAATTGGTGCCAAATGTTGACAAATTTGTCTACTAAAATGTTTAGATCTTGAGCTGTTTGCTGTTTCAATACTGCTATATGAACTAAACTTTACGCATTACACAAATATAAGGAGATTTGAAATTTTAAATACAATAAATATGTTTTATAGAGAAAGAAAATAGCCTTGTTTACCTTTTTTAGCCTGTAGTAATCTGCAGGGCATAAAACAGAATTTAATACAGTACTTTATTCATTCACCTTCTCTTATTCAGAGCTCTGTACTACTGTTAGAATCACGTTCAAAATTTGTAATTTTATGTCGAAAAATTAACCTCATATTGAGGAAGATTAATTTTATTACATAATTGTATTTGTTAAGTAATAAAGAAATGGGATTCTCTGTCTTTGTTAGGCCACATAAATCTACTGGTAGATTTCAAAATGTAAATATAAATAATTTTTATTAGTGTGTTAATAATAATGATTATTAGTTATTAAAAAATATGGTACTTTTGTTACATATTCTTATTTTTTGTTTATATACAAGAATTATAGATGTCAATTCCAAAAACAACTGTTTTAAAAATGATTGAGAATTTTTTTTTCTGTTTTTAGTTTTTAGGATTCTTCATAACTTGTAGTTATTATTTTATTTTATTTTATTTTTTAACGTTAACATCGTCTTTTAGAAGAAAAAAGGCTAATAGTATCTTTTGTAACCCACATTCTTAACCGTAAAAATATACTTGACTTAAAATGAACAATTTTACTGAAGAGGAGGATGGTTGGGGTGATCAGTCCAAATAAAATAGTAAAAATAAATAATTGTATTTATTTATAAGTATGGTTGGGGTGATCAGTCAAAATAAAATAGTAAAAATAAATAACTGTATTTATTTTATTTTGACTGATCACTCCAACCATCCTTCCCTTCAATTATTTACTGCAACCATCAACCCACAATAATGAAAAAAATTACAGTTTGATAAATTTGAATCTAAAAAAGATGTTTTCAATCTTTTGCTCTTAAAAGTCTAAATTACTTTGCAGTGTAAATTTCTACTAAGCTGAGGGGCATAACTGTTCCTAGCATTTTTGAATGGACATTTGCTGTTATCAAACAATAGTTATCTTAAATTCTTATCTTTTGATGAACTGCTTGCTATGATATAACAGTGTTGCATGATTGAATCAAAGCTGTTCTGTACTGCTACAGGCATTTTATTTAAGTTAATTTTGTCTAATTAATTTTACTCAATTGTTTGTATTTTAAGTTAGTATGCTTAAAATTATTATGTAATATAGAATGAAGCTAGTGTTATAAAATTTTAATGATTAAATTTTCGTGTTATTATTTATCTGCAAAGAAATTTTATCCCAGATAACATAAAATATTTTTAAATTAGTAATAAGAATATTTCATTAATTTTGTTTATTACTGTAGATAGACGAAGGAAAAAAGGATATATTTTAAGAAACAATGATATTTCATACAGAATATTTAAAGAAACTTTCCATGTTATAGTTAAAATTTTATTGATATAGTATTAAAAAAAAATTACACAATTTTTAGGGAGAAAAAAATGGTAATTTTAAAAATGAGTCAATCTGTTGTTCGAAATGGAATTAGGTATATTAGCTTTTCCAAAGGTGATATAATAGGAAGCCCAGTTAACAAGTTATGTCCTGATTATTTGGTGAGTTTAAAGAATTTCAAAAATTAAATTTTGTTTTTGTTAGTACTATAACTTTATATCATAACGTAGTTTTTCTGTTTTATTTACTAATATTTCTTTATCTTATTGATCTCATGTGACAAAGGTACATACCATAATATTTTATTAATTGCAATCATAAATGCTGTAAAGATGGCTCTCTCTATTTCTAGAAAAACAAAGAGGCAATGGAAGTTTTAGTGAAAGAGTTAAAAGAAAAGACAATAAAAATAACTAGAGGAGGCGGTGATAATGCCATTAAAAGGCATACCTCAAAGGTATAATATTATATATTTATACTTCAAACTTAATTAAAAATTAAAATTTAGCTACATCTGGTAAAGAATTAATTTAAACGTATGGGCTCCAGGAAGTGAATATGTATAATATGTTTAAATTTAAGAACTACGCTCAGTGGGATTTTAGATTTATAATAATTTGCTAAGATAGTTTCTGTTTCGTCACTATTTAATAACTAATCAAATTAATTACATAATTTTTTTTAGAATTCAGAACATATTTTAATGAACTGGATGATGGTGATGTTTGCACGGGTAACATTATATTCACCACAGACTTTATAGATATCTTACATTCTGCATTATGCTTATCTTATAATATAAGCACATTATGCACATCTTATAATATAAGCAAGATGGGAATTTATTCACCATAGAAAAATTAATTAAACGTGTCCTGAGGGACTGAAATAAAGAATGAGGTTACGTTTTTAATAAGCACTGTGATTTTGGAAAAAATAGGTTTTTGATGGAAACTATTGGTCATCAGAGTATGGTTATATGATCACACAATCTCTTATAAAATATTTTTTATTTCTCATCACCTAAAATCAGCAAGAGTGTCCAAAACAGGTTGTAGTATGGGTTTTAGTTTTAGCTATAGTTATTCTAAAACTGGTCTTGAGGTTTACTTTGTTCAGCAGTGGGATTAATGGAAAGATCACTGCATCATTTTGCATTTTAAACTATTCCTTTGGGAGAAATATTATAATAAAGTTGATTAGCCATACCAGTAATAGTAAAAAAATATTATCAACATCTATTTTGACTGTCATGAATAACATATATTTTTTTAAAGGGTAAATTGCTAGTGAGAGAGAGAATCAATACTCTTTTGGATCCAGGAACTCCTTTTTTAGAGCTTTCTCAATTAGCTGGTTACGATATGTATGGGGCTGATGAAGTACCTTCTGCTGGCATCATTACTGGAATTGGTAGGATTTCAGGGTAACTTCTAGTTTATTTATTCAATATTTGTATTTTTATTTTATATTTATACCATTCTTGTCTGTTGACAATACTGGTTTACCAGGTTGACATTGTCCATTAAACATTTTATATAACATCATGACAATAAATTAGAAATTCTATTAAAAATAAGTTATTTCAATATCCTTTATTAAAGAGGCTTGAAGAAGATGGTCAAAATGTATGGGTTATGAGCTAGCTTATTAAAATTGTATTGTTCAGATAATGGATATTATTTATATCAAATTACACATGACTAGTTTCATTTCTAATGGTTCTGAATCAGATAACGATTTGTGATTCAATAGGTTAAACACTCTACTGCTTTCCGATTCGTGCTTGGTTTACTGTAAGTTACCAATCTACTCCACCCATACTGTAGAGTCCAAGATAATGTACTTGTATGTGCGTTATTCCAGATAAAAGTCAATGCTTAAATGCTGGATATGAAAAAAATGCAGTGTTGTATCTGACTTCAGATTAGTTCAACAAGCTCAGCCTCCAGGGTTTTTAAATCAATCGTATTCATATTTTTTTGTTGTTTTTTAACAGGTTTTATACTGTACATCATATTTCATATAATTTATTTTTTTTCTTCCAAAGTAATTACTGTTATAAAAAAAAATTGATTATTAATAATTAAAATATTGATGATGAGTAAATATATTTAATTTAATAATCTTTTATACAGTGGTTATTTAATGGTTATTGATTTGAGTTATTATTAGGTTATTTTTTTGAGGAAAATTGCTCCCCATGGTTTGAAAATTGATTGGTATGGCGGCCGAAACTTCTAGGTCAAGGAGTTTTCAAACTTGAAATCAGGTCCTGAATGTACTTAAACCAGATATTTATGCCCAATAATATTTTTTACTCTCTTAATTATATTTTTGTATTTTCTTTTTGTGAGAGAATAATCGAGATGAACGGTTTTGAAAAGTTGATTGTTAGAGTTGTATCATATGTGATGCTGAATTTTCTGCCCTGTATACTTGGTGCAAGTACAGCTCTTATGATTTCAACTTTATAGGTCCCTTTCCTGCCCAAAGTCAAATTCATATAAAAAAGTAAATAAAATGCATTAATATAAGAATGACACAGAAAGTAATTCATATAGAAAGTATAAGTACATATAAAAATAAACCCAGAAATATACATTACATCTATCAGTGACTCACAGCTCCTGTTTTAATATTATCCGATAGCAAAGACGGTGTTAAAAGTGGTTTTAATCTTATAAATATTTGAGCAATTTTTTTTTTAAATTTTATTATTTATAAATAAATTCTAATTTTATTTTTTATTCAGGAAGCAATGTGTGGTAATAGCTAATGATGCTACAGTAAAAGGGGGAACATATTATCCTTCAACTGTAAAGAAACATCTTAGAGCACAAAGAATTGCTGAGGAAAATCACCTTCCATGTATCTATCTTGTTGACTCTGGTGGGGCTAATATCCCTCATCAAGCCAGTATTTTTGCTGATGCAGACTGTTTTGGGAGAATATTTTATAATCAAGCAAACATGTCGTCAAGTGGTATACCTCAGGTGCTTAGGAATTTTTATTTTTATGATCTTAATTGCTTATAAAGTATTATCTCTTTGTGGCAGCAAAGATTCTTGAACTTTGTTTCAATTCACCCCTTGAAAACTACCGGCTCTTGTTTAGATAGCAGTAGTTATGGGCTCCTGTACTGCAGGTGGGGCATATCTTCCATCAATGGCTGATGAATCTATTATAGTTAAAGGAAAAGGGACCATCTTTCTTGCAGGACCACCTTTAGTCAAAGCAGCAACTGGAGAGTCAGTGACATCTGAAGATTTAGGTGGAGCAGAACTTCATTGCAGGTTTATTTCTTTATTCAAATAAAAAAAAAATGTTAAGGTGTGGTATTAGTTTTACAGATGATGTTTTAATCATTATCCCCTATTGGCTGATAATACAGTATACTCTATACTCCCTCAATTTGTGTTTTACTATATGTTGCCATGTCATATGTAGAGGATGTAGGTGTTAACTTGTGGCTCATTTACCTTGTTTAAACCTGTGTTGTTAAGAGCCTATTATATCTTCTTCAACGGGAAGGAGTATTAAGGATAAATACTATAATAGCATTCATATAACATCAAGGAAATCTTGTAATAAGATAAACCATGACCTTTTCCATTCAAAGGTCTTTCAAATATTTTTCATTAAAAAGATCCAGAAATTTTGAGTAAAGTTTGAACTGATAATGAATGAATTACCAATTTTTTTCTCTTTTGAGGGATTGAATAATCTTTTTGGATTTTAACTGCTTGAATTTTTATTCCATAAATACCCAGCAAGCACATCTTTAACCAATGGTATTTTTTTTCTTTTAGTACTTCTGGAGTGACTGATCATTTTGCAAATAGTGATAACCATGCGCTTCAAATAACCAGAGAGATAATACAACGATTGAACAATATCAAAAATAAAAAGATTAATAACACAAACTTTGAACTTCCTGTTTGGGACCCAAAAGAGTTGTATGGTATTACAGGAACAAATCTTAAGAAACTATATGATATACGTGAAGTAAGTCTTTTAGAATAGTAATATAAAGTTTTCTACTTGCAATGATTAATTTAACTTTTCAGGAATTTTGTATGTATTAGTTGTATAATATTAGACTATTATTCATTATCTGAACATAGATCCTACACAATAAATTAAATCTTACTTTGAGAAATCTTTAAGGTTGAGAATTAATTTGATAGTTCATGAAAATAAGTTACAAGAAAACTTATAAAAACAAAACTTAGTTTTAAATAATATTTGATCTATTATTATTATTATTTATTTATTGACATCCCTACTGTGCCTGATATGCAATACAGCTTTTAGAAGCAGTGAAATTTTATGCGTTTCTGCGTAACAACACACTGGTGCTAGAAAAACAATATTACAATTTCATGAGCAGTGTCCACAGTTTGATCACATTTCTTTGAGTTTGGCTACGATCTTCCTCTGCTCCTCCTTTGTCTGGTGCTTTCTAGGTGGCACATCTCTTCTTCTTCCCAAAGAGAAATGAGTTTGGCCTATAATTGATTTTCATTCCAAAAAAAAATCTTTTAAGTGCAGGTAGTTTTTTGCACTCATGATCTGAGGAAAATCGCTCTCAGTCAAAACGTAGAGTGAGGTTGCTCTCAGCAGTTTGGCTCTCTGTGCCTCACAGGCAGTACAGGCTGTGACTATGTGCTCGGCAGTCTCTGATACTCCGCAACTGTGACACAAGGGGTCGATATTTTTTTCAAGTTGAAAGAGTTTTGTACGGAAGCCTCCGTGTCTAGTGAGTAGTTTGGAGACCAAATAATCAGGTTCCACCCATTTTACTGGAACCGATGGGGGGAAAATATTTCCTCAAAGTACTTCCTTTCAGGGTTTGTTACCCAGCACCGGGTTCCATTCGTCAAGGGTGTACTCTTATATTATCTTTTTCTATCTGCCTGGTTCTTGTTTAATCTTCACATAGAGATTCTCTAGTAAATCTGCCAAGCCTTCTCTTGGTATCTGATGCTTAAATATGTCTTCCTGCAACAGGAGGTCAAGAGGTACACATCCTGCCAGGACCTGTACTGCTCCCTGTAAGCCCTGATGACTTGAAGCAGAGCCATCCGCTGGATTGATACCAACCTGTTCTTCTGGTGATGCGAGAGATTCAGATACCAACTAGGGAACGCGTATATACAGAATATACCTCAGAATATACAGAACTATACCTTTATAAATGGTTGTAGTCTCTGTTATAGTATCTGAGACCCCAAAAGGTACCCCAACACGACTGAGTCTATTAAGGGCTACGGTCGCCCTACTTCTCAAAGAGACCAATTAATTTTTTAATAATAAAAATGATTGTGTTAAAGGTTTTTAAATATTAAAAACTTTTGCATTCAGCTATTTTGTGTTTAAAACTATTAATATTTTTTCAGGTTATAGCAAGGTTTGTTGATGGTTCAAAGTTTTTTGAATTCAAAAAGAAATATGGAACTTCTTTAGTAACTGGTTTTGCCTCTCTGTTTGGGCATACTATTGGCATTGTTGGTAACAATGGTGTATTATTTTCAGAATCAGCCCTAAAGGTTTGTATTTTTAAGAACTTTATACCTGATGAAACCTATTTAAATGAAACCTGAGCGATGATTCATAATTATTATTATGTCTGGATTTGACTTATCTTTGTTATCATTGAATTTTACTACATTTTCATTTGTAATATAGGGTACCCATTTCATAGAACTATGCAGTCAGAGAAATATACCTTTGATTTTTCTTCAAAATATCACTGGTATGTATTTTTCATTTCTAAAATAAATCATCAAATTATTTTATTAGATTCTCCTAGATTAGACATTTTATTCCTTCTGGGTAATAAATATATAAAAATAAGTAATCTAGTATCCAATTTACTATTTTTTTTTCTCAGCAATATTGAATTTATTTGTAATAATTTCCTGATTCCCAAAATTAATTAAAAAAATTACAGTAGTCAATAATTTTTGTTGAAAGGATTCATGGTTGGACGAGATGCTGAAGCTGGAGGGATAGCAAAAAATGGAGCGAAAATGGTAACTGCTGTTTCTTGTACCAAGGTTCCAAAAATTACTTTAATAGTTGGTGGATCATATGGAGCTGGAAATTATGGAATGTGTGGTAGAGCCTATAGGTAAGTACTCAACAATTCAGAAATAAACATTATTTAACTATTAAATATTATTCCAGAGTAATTATTGTTCAATTTAATCAGAAACCGATTTAAAGGAGTCATATTCTATTAATATAAGGTCATAAGAACACAATAGTGTGTTTTATTTACACTTTTAATAAATAAGCTCTGTGGTTTTTAGTATTATGTATAAGCTGAAAAACCTCCTCAATACAACCACTTATAATCATAACAATACAATTAATTATAAATAAAATTTAATAGACTAATATTTGTAAACACTGATAATTTATAATGACCAATTTTCAGTGGATTGGAAAAAAAAAATACTACATTAACTCACCTGTAGCAGAAAGTTAACTACTGCTATACTAGTGAGACTAATATTTTTAATATGTATTAAAAAATACCCATTATTAGCTAAAAAAAATATAATATAAAATATAAAAAAAAATATGAAATAAAATAATAATAGGTTACTAAGGGTATAATAGCAATAGATTATAGTATTATAAGGTTGAGACCCAAATATGCTCGAGCCTGATACAGGGACACGGGTCACATTTCCTAAGTCCTGGCCACAATGATTTGTAAAAAGGGAAGTAATTATTTATTATAAAAAACAATGAAGTGGAATTGAATTTAGAAATAATATTAATTTATTAAATTATAGAAAATAAAAACTTGATTTACTAAAGGTATAATAAATCTTTTATAATCATTCACTATTCTTAATTTTTGTTTTTAAAAACTTTTATTTTAAAAGTACTTGTGATTTACATGATATTCCTTCAAATTTATTATTTCTTCATTGTCATTTGTCAAAAATGTTTGAAATATTTTAATCTTTTCAGTCCAAGATTTCTCTATATGTGGCCAAATGCCAGAATATCTGTGATGGGAGGAGAACAAGCGGCTGGTGTATTGACTCAGATTGCTCAGGACCAGTATAAACGAAAAAATAAAATAGTAATGTCCAGTAACTTTAAAAAGTTATTTTGTGAAAATAATGCTAAAATAGAAAGTAAAAACTTATTTATTTATTTTTTTAATGAAAAGTAAACTAACAATTTATTATAAGTACATATCTGCAAAAACATATTTCTCTAATTTACATATATAAATGTTGATCTAATAATTTAATTTATATTATAAACTACTATATTATAAAATTTAATTATTGCTATTTCTACCTGACCAAATCTCTAGGTATTTTGTCTCCTTACAAATAAAAAAAAACACATCAAGCATAAGATACATGTAATGTAATTAACATTCTGATGCTATTTAAAACATATAATTGATTAAAAAAATAAATAAATTCAATAGGTATTGGTTAAAATTGATATTTTTTACAATGAAATTTATCATTAAGCTTTCACAATTAAATATTTTATATTTTTAATAAATGTGCTCCTAATTTTGTTCTGATCTACCAGATGACAGCAGAAGAGGAAAAGAAGATCTCAGAGCCGATAATTAGCCAGTTTGATAGGGAATCAAGTCCTTATTATTCCACTGCAAGGTATTATTTATTATAAAACTTGTATTGTTATATCCTTAACCCCTAAGAAAGAAGTGCATTAATGATTTTAACTAGAGGGAGCTCCTTTGTGGCTTTTCTCCCAGGTTAGGAGAAATGTAAACTAAAATTGGGCAGTGTTAGTTTATGGTCAGAAAGCAACCCAGTTATGTTCTTCTTATCCACAGACAACCTGCCTAATGTTATCTTCCGTTTATTTCGCATTGAGCTTTCTTCCTGAAGGGACAGTCCTTATGATACCATCCTTTTTTATGACTACATCTATTTATTTTTTTTGTACATGCACATTTTTCAACTTATTCTTAACTGCACTACAAGTGGAGAAAAGGAGAGTTGCACCTACGGTTCAAATCACTGGAAAAAATATATGCATATAATGTTTATTTTATTCATTTTATTTCTGTGAAACGATTGCGACACAAATATAATTAAAATTCAAGTAACTCATATCTTTCAAGGTTATTAACCCCATAAAATATGAAATAATTTTTTATATGCTATTCAATTTTGTCTTATTTTTACCAGACATTTTCATGGAACAAGGACCAAATGACAATAAAGTTTCACTTAAAAAATAATTTATATTTCCACAGTTTTTTTTCTCTTTCCAACCTCCCATTTTATTTAGAAAATAACAAATGACTTTTATTTATATTATTCACATTTTTATATGGTGAACTTGCTGCTATATATAAGAAACTTTCATGACAATGATTACAGATAAGCCTGAAATATGTAAACAAAGTTTAGTTCTTTTGTTTATAAAACTTTCTTTGAATATAAAATTCCCACAAATGATGAAAAATACTCTGAAACAAACATGAGTACTAAATTTCACTTCCAAAGTATAACATTTTCATTATGCTGTTATTATAAAAACAACATATTGAAAATGTTATACCTTGGATTAAAATAAATTTTGGGAAATTACTCTTATACTATGAAAGCATTTCAAACCCCAAGACTTTTCATTTGCAGAACTTCAGATACTTGAAAACCTATACTTGTTACGTTGCCAAAATATAGTCTATGTGGTGTTTGTTGTATAATGACCATATTTCATATGCATTTATTTACATGACTGAGTGGAATGCTACTATGTTCCCTGATGAATATTAGCTTTTCTCTCTAATAATTTATTATTTATTAAAAATGTTGTAATTAACTATATCAATACAGTAATTATTATAATTTTACAGGATTTGGGATGATGGCATTATTGATCCTCTTGATACAAGGAAGGTATTAGGATTAAGTTTATCTGCTTGTTACAATGCACCCATTTCTGATACAAAGTATGGTATTTTCCGAATGTAGATATAAAACATAAAAATAATATTTCTATATTCTCAATATTATTTTGTATGTAAGAATCATTTATTTTTATGCTCTCTTTCATAAATAAACAGTTTTTTATCCATTATTTTTTATGCCCAAATCCAATATGTTTGCAAAATTTGTGTTGCCTGGCAATCTAATAAACTGAATATAACATGAAAAATTATGACGAGTTCGCATCATGGTGCCGGGGAGGCTTTTAACTTTGGCATTAATTCTCCACCCTCTCCCCTGATCAAGAAAAAACAAAAACAAAACATGAATAGTGGTTTCTCCCTTTCCTTTGAGACTCTCAGTCATATAAATTCTGCCATTCATTACCAATCATGCTGCTTAGTTGATGGAAAATGTCTGTTTTTGTGACTTTAAAATTAATTCTTATTGCTTTGGTAGTATCTCAAGCAATTTGAAATTCTATGATTACCTCTATTTAATACTAAAGGCTGAAAAATATTCCTTCTGATAAATTTGAGAAAAGGCTGGTTCTGACATGTTGCTAATAAAGTAATGATCAGCTCAATTTTTTTTTCTCACTATTTATTGAAATTTATAACTGTTTTTTATATACAGTCATTGGAAACCTTTCAGTTTTTAATTAAATATTATGATTAATGAGGGTAACCAGGAAGACACAATTTTTGATGTATAAATAAAGTATAGGGCTCAGCAGCATCAAATTAAATAAAAATTCCGCTCATTTGGACATAATCAAGGAATCTTACTTTAGCCTAGAAATGAACAATTATTTGGCATTCTTTATAAATAAATAATTGTTTTTAAAATTTGCAACTACTGTGGCCAATATATTATCTGTAAAGATTGTGGTATAAATATGGATATCTTATGTGCCAATAGATCTGAAGAAATGGAATTTGCTCTCTCAACCATGTTGAAACATACTGTCACAGTTTCATATAATACAATCTATTTCAAGACATTTAATGATGAATTATGTTTAAATTTTTAAATATTGTTAAAGACCCCCATTAACCATGAATTTTATCCTGGAACAAAATTTAATGTAAATAAAAAAAAAGGAGAAAAGGGTAATAATTGGTGTGGTTTCAGTAATAATAATTGATACAAGTGTTAGAAGTTTATTTATATTACAAAAGAAATAAGAAGTTAGAAAAGCATTTTAGATTTTTCTCAATATTTTCGACTAGTTAAATTTATAAAAATTATGATTTGTCAAAAAAAAGATTTTTCACTAACATAAAAATTACAATTGCTTATTGAAGTTAATTTTTACTGTATGCTTTATAATAATATGAATTAATTAAAATTAAAAGTATATAGTTGAATCAAATATTTACAATTTAAGATTCATTGATAACTAACATACTTAAACAATAATACAAAAGCACAAACATATAATCTATAATTTCTGTGAAGATTAGGAACAAAAATTAACTACATCATAGTTTTAGAAATTTGTCAATAGAAAAACAGAAAAAATAATTGAAGTCATATTAACTTGTAAAACATTCATGAACAACTACACACCTATTGTATTTTTTTATTTACATTTTTAAACTACATAACTCATTTGTAAAATACACAACTATGGTACATTTAGTGCTATCACAAGCCTTCGTATGCAAAGCCCAATTTTCATTCGGAAGAGATCCAGCACTATATGAACTAAAATTAGGAGTTGCATTTCGAAGGAATTAGCCATTATCTTTGTAATAGCTACACAAATAACTAATCAATAAAAATAGTAAAGAAATGCAATACATGCTGCCATTTGATGTTTCATACTTCAATTTTATAAGTTTAAAATTTAAACTAATAGGAAGATTCTCCTTTAAGAATCAAGACTCTGTTTCAAAAGTTTTTTTTTCTTTCTATAAATTTAAATCAAGCGATAACAATTAATACTTAATGTATTTTACTACTCAAAATTCTGTTGACAATAATTAATCTTTAAATTAAATGATTAATCTTTAGTTACAAAAATTATTCTTACTATAAATATACTATGGCATTTGTTAAAATACAAGCAGTTAAGTAATGTTAATGGTTACACACCTATTTCTTCATATTACATTACAGAAGTTATATGATGATTACTTCAATTATCATCACATTAAATATGATTTAAAGGTAATGTTAAAAACTTTAGTGCTATTGTGGAATAAAATCAATCTGATTATGTTCTTAAGGGAATATGTAGGAACCATATTTTCAGTTTCCAAAATTTAGCAAATAGAGCAATGGCAAGATATTACTTTCTTTTATGAAGTACAGTTTTTGTCATTGAATACCAAAAGATCACTGCATCAATGATAAACACATAGAACAAAAGTCAGAATTATCATTAATACATTGGCTGTTTGCTGGAAGCAGCTGTTCGTTTCTTCTATTACGGTGTAAACAAAACCTTCCCTAATTTCTTCTCCTTCGAGTTTCAATTCCTGCTTAGTATCAGTGACACTATTGCTGGTTACATTTTTTTCTTCTGCTACAGGTGCATCTCCAATGTCCAGTTTAACTTTAAAAAGATATAAATAAATAACTTTGTAAGTATTAAATTAAAACTGTTAAAAAATAAACTAATTTAAAAGATTCAAACATTTGAAAAAAATATTAAATGCAAAGATTTGCCAGAATTATGTAAGAGTAGAATTCAGCATTTGTGCAACCAGTTTTAAAACAAACAACTTTTATTTTATTGAATTTAAATGATCAATAATTGTCATTTCGAAATTAGAGAAAGTCAAAACTCCATCAATGGACTGTTCAGTCACATGATTACAGATAAGAAAATGAAATATTTAAATTTAAATATTTTAATTTAATTTAAATTAAATTAAAATTACTTCAAGTTGATGCAACATATAAATTTTAAAAAACATATACTTTTGAAATGGAGACATATTACAATAATAAATGTACACTGGAAATAAATAACTCCAAATGAAATTTCGGTAGTTGTGAGCGACACGACCTCTATGGACTGCTATCTGCAGTTATCTTGTTATTTAAAGTGTTGCTGTTATTTATATTTCTTATTATTAAATTACTGTATTATTATTATATTTATATTTCTTATTATATATATTATATATATATATATATATATATATATATATATAAAGACTAGAAGTTTGTACTAGTTAATGTGTATTATAATAGTATAATAAGAAACAGACAAAAAAGAAGCAACACCAAATATATATATACTTCTTATTATATGAGAGTCTAATTTCATATGAAGATAGGTATTATCAGTGCCTTATAACAATTATCAGTGTTCAGGTTATAAACATTTAATAATAAGAAATATAAATAACAACAACAACACTACTTGTTATATAAATAACAAGATAACTGCAGATAGCAGTCCATAGAGGCCGCGTCGCTCACGAGTACTGAATTTTCTCTAGACAAAGGGTAAATAAATCAATGATTTATGATTCCGTATGATTCAAAGTGACCGACAAATTACTGAATTTTAAAAAATCATAAAAATTTAAACTCTGAACATTTATATAAGCCATTATGCAACACATTAATTAATAGAAACTATTATACTCCACATTAACTAATACAAACTTCTAGTCTTATTTAAAATTTAATATATTATTTAAAAATTAATTTATATTGATTAAATTCATTGATGGTTTATAAACAAATTGTATAATATTGTAATTTATAAATAATCATAGAACAAGGCGACAAACCTTTGTTAGAAATTTCTCCTTCCTTATAGTCCACCTTGATGAATGAAGTAATAGATACTTCAAATACTTTATTAGGGTCTGGTGGCATCGATGGAACTTCCCTCTTTCTCCTTCCAAAGCCAATTTGTCCATTACTGCATTCAATCTGAAATATCATTATACATTAATCATATTTTATTTTAAAAGCATTAATTTATTTTTTTAAAATAATTTTTTCAACCAAATGGCACATTTAACATAAACACTGATGTTCAATAATAAGTATTCTTATGAATATTAAATTTTTAATTCAAAAATATCCATTCAGTAAATATGTGTATTTAATTTTAAGTGTCTGTTTTAAAAAAAGCAATATGTCAATATGATGTTAGTTTTATTATATATATATATATATATGTTGCTATTTAAAACACTCTTTCTGCAATACAAGTTTGCTCTTCATGATGTAATTTTATCACCATATTTAATTTTCATTTAATTTCTTAAGGGTTTCATTTGTGGAAAAACAGTTTCTAGCAAGAATCATAATAGGTTAAGTAATCCCTTGTGTACTACAATCAGAACTTGTTTAATTTTTAGAAACTTTGATTATAGGAATCAAGTAAATCATTTCAAAGAATCAGTCATTACTTTAAATTAGGCTTTAAACCAGGACTTGATAGGAAATTTAACTTTAATTTTAAATCGATTTCATCAGTATGAATATAATTCAATTTTTTTGTATTATTTCGGAACTAGAATTTTTTCCCTTGCAACTTTTAATGTTAACTTTTCAAGTTTCACATGACTGTTATTAAAAAAATAAATAAAATTTCTGTTAAAGAAATTGATTTCTCCAAAAATATCGATCTAAAAAATGGTAATTTTACTGTGTATTCTTACCAGCTCTGGCAAAGGATACATAGAATTAAGATAAATTATATCTTATTTAATGAAACTTTTTTTAAGAATTTAAATAAATAAAAGTTAAAATTTTACCATAAACCAAGAATTTCACTACAAAAAAGTTCCTAAGAACTGTTATTTTTAATACTTTTTTCATGTGGTAGTTTTAATAGGAAAAAATTGCAGAAGAATTTTTCAAAACGACTCTAGACGTTTTTTGGAATGCTACATCTGAAAATCCAGTTATTAACTAAATTCTGATATAGTTTCACCATCTTAGAGATCGTACCTACGCATCTTAGAGAAAAATCACACACATCAAAAAGAAATCTGACAAAATTTCCTCAATAATAAAACTAGAACCAGCTTTCTTTTTCGTTTGGCCGCTAGAGTGCAGTAAATATTGACGTAAAAATCATCAAATTAGTTCAGTGGAATGGTGGTAAAATGGAGGAAAATTCAAATAGTAGGTTTCTTTCCGGTTTCTAATGTTTTTCTAACAAAATCAAAACATATTAAATAATGATGTTTAAATTTCGTGTTAAATTTAAAAATATTGGCTGGTTTCAGGTTATTTGGCAACTATCAAGCAATACAGTTGATCTAATCAGATGAAGGATTAAGTTTCATTTTTAATTGAAATGATAATTTTTTTATGATTTTAAATTGTTATTTTATATTGTTTAGTCTAAAATAAAAAAATGTTCATTTTTTTATAATTAAGTAAAATCAGACATTCCCGCCTATTTCATGGCACACTAGCGATCTTTACGCTAATTAATGACAGTACCCTTTATATTACTTCAATAATGGAATAGTTTTTGTGTGTGATGAAAGATTTGAAGTAGGAGAGAATGATTCTTCCAATATAAAGCAAACATGGTATATTTCTTTATATAATACATTGAAAAAATTATAATATTTTCAATTTAAACCTACTGTTTTAAATTATGATTTTTGATTTTTCAGATAATGTGAAGTAAGTGTTGTATGTTCTACTCATATATTATTTAGAAGGTGGGTGTCAACTTATAATGTAAAAAACATTTTATATTTTACTAAGATTCTTTTGTTTTGAATTGTACCATTATTTCAAGATATATCCTATATATGAATATATATCTCAATATTTTCATCATTAAAATAGAATGATTTTAAGTTCTGTTGCTGTAACACATGCTGTAGACACATTCTTATTTATAATGATAAATTTAAAAATATTATAATGAAATTATAATTGTACACAAAGACCTAAAGTGTTTTATAATAGTATTAAGATTCAATATATATTATTTGGTATTAAGATCGGATGTGATTTAGTTAATTTATTCAGTTTGCCAAGAATACAAATCAGTTTGCATTAGGAATAATCTTCAAAACTTTTCATTTATAAATAAATGAAACGAAATTAATCAAATTAATTTACATATTTCAATACATGGCTATAAAAATATTACATATTTATAAACCAATTTAAACAAAGCTCATTGTCTTGAAATTATAAACTTCAATATATCCATATATACATATATATATATATATATATATATATATATATATATATATATATATATATATATATATATTCGTTTAGTATTAGTATATAAAAAAACAAAGCAATAAATTCATATAATAAAAATGGAAATGAATAATCAGCTTATATTAGTGTATTTGTGAAAAAAAAAAAATCATGAAAAGAATGAATTCTTACCCCTCTGCATTTATCTAGACATACGTTGACTGTTCCTTTGAACTGCACATATGTTGAATCAGGAAATTTAAATGCCCTGAACTTGGCTGACAAGAAATCACCATCAACTGTATTGAAATTCTCGAACAGATATGGGTCGACTGAACACCTAAAAATTAGTAAACCTTCCCAATTAAAATTAAATCTTTCCATTAATCAATGTTGAAAGTAAAATAAATAAATATTGGTCATACAAGTATAAAAAACCTAATGCTTATAAACTTACATACAATGTGTGTTCAATAACAAGTTTTATATATTAAGTATGTAAACATTTTTTTACCCATTGAAAATTATTGTTTCTTCTTGTGTTTTTGTATCGCTAACTAGCATGTAGCTAACGAGTAGACCATATACTGGTGCTGACTTTTTGTCTAAATATATTTCCATTTGAAGAGGTGTACCAGGATTAACATTTAATTCACCGGTGACCAGTTTCCCTGCTTGCCTAACTCCTACCTGGAGTTTCGGTTGAGGGGCACGCCCTGTTAAGGATGTAGTAATATCCAAATCTCTGGAAATATTAAGTACAGAAAATTATTTCTATTGAAATAGCACATAAAAGTTAAATATATAGTTAAAATTTTTATATAGATGTAGTTATTACATGGGCTCTTGAAATCCAGCAGGCAGTACGTTTCTTTTAAAGATGGTATGATTTCCAGCTTGCAAACATTTGACTTGAATTGCTTCTTTGGGTGCGTCTTTATTATCTGTTTCAATTATTATTCTATGGTAAAATGTTCTTAAGCCCTGAAATTCATGCTGTATTTAAAACAACTAGTATATTACTTTATATCAAGGATTATGTGGTTTAATTAATCATGAAGCATAGAAGTTTCATTATTATATCAGATAATTACTGGATAAATATATCTGAAAAACAATTTAAAAATTATTCTAAATATTAAAATATTTATTTGAGATAACAGTAAAATCTAATTTCTCAAGTTAGCGGATCATTTTAAAACCGTCTAAAAGTTTATAATTTTACTGAGATCAAATTTATTTATATCAGATTTTAAGTAAATAGATCCACTTTCTAAGCATTTACATGGGGTATTACCAGGTCTGCCCAAAAGTAGTTTCAGTTTTTAAAAATCAGTCTATTTATGTTGATATTAGTAAACTCTCCTTTACAATTGAATTGTGTTTACATATTTTGTTTATTATAGCACTACATACTCTTTTGTGCTGAAATTTCAATTAAAATGGATCTTTACCAAAACCATTTATGCCATGTTATGGTTTGAGAATTCGACTAAGGAAAAATTGTTCCTTTAAGTTATCGGAAACTTGCAGAAATATATGGAGAAAACGTGAAGGACAGTGATTCAGTCCTGGAGAAACACCAAGAGTATTAGCGAGAGAAGGACTTCATGAAAAAAAACTATGTCTGTTTGGTGAGATATGGAAGAAATCCTTCATCATGAATTATGGCTTATGGAATGACCTGGTGTTTACAAAATCATGCTACAGAGTATCTTCATGATGAATTAGTATAGTTATTTTATTACTTCAAAAGATAACAAACTTTTGATACCTAATCTGAAAGAAATAAGTAAATAAGTAATTGATCTACTCACAGTTGCTTGGTTGATGACCCTTGTTATGCCACATTTGAATACGTCATTCAAAGACAACCTGAATACTGCCTGATGTCCGAATAATACAGGCTTACAGGCTGGATCTAAAGTAAATAAAACATGGAGTATATATAATTATTATTGTTTATGTAAATCAGATAATGTTGTATTAAATACAATTTTACTATTTTCTAATAACATTAATAAAACTTGAATTTTAAAATGGACTCATTTAGTTTGTGTTGAATGCTCTGATTTAAACATGCACTTTTATTAAAAATTGATCAAAAAAAGACTTATATTTTAAAATCTTGTAGGTTTTCATATTATATATATTATTTTATTTTTTATTTTTTCTGTAAATAAATAATTATTAATCATGTAGTAGAATTAGTATTTGCTTACTCTTTAAAATTAAAGTTCTGCTTGTATTATTAATTAATAACTTATAATTACTTTATTAATTATTAACATTTTAATATATTTAATATACTTTATTAATATTCCTCTCCAAAACTGATGTTTTACATAATACAGATATTAACTTATTCCTATTAGTTAAATATAAAATTATCGAAGAATGAGATCTGAGTTAATTATTGGCTAATTTAAACTGTGTGATGAGTTTTCATTAAATATTGCCCACTTATCAGATATTAAAGAAAAGAACCCGTTAACAAATGTTAAATTAATTATTTTTGTTTGATTAATTAATAAACGATTTGATGAAGTACTCTAAGCTCACAATGAAATGCTTAGTTAGCCACAGCCAAAGTGTAAAAAAACATGGAAAGTAAAACTTATTAAGTTACTTAATAAAAGAATCAGTATGCTATCAACCACGCTATTTAACGGTTTTAATTTATTCCATCTATTTCTAATACAACCTTGAAGTTGGCTATTAAGTGCTTGGTTGGAAATCTAGCTCTGTAGACTATTAATTCCTCCATAACTGGAATTATGTCTCACGATTAGACAGAAGTCCTTGAATAACAGTAGCTGACTTAAGGAAAGTCCTACTGTTGATTAACACATAACTGTCCATCTTTCATCTATTACACTTAGTTAACAAGTGCAAGCAATTGGCTGGGTTTACTTAAAAACAGCATTTTTAGATTTTAGTGAAACATGTTCAATATCTTTTAAAAATATAACGTTTTTTATTGTTTATTATAAATATATAAAATATAATATTTAAAAAAAAATTAAATCTGTTTCAATTAAATAAAAAAGTGTTGTTTCTAAGGAAACCTAGGAAATTGTTAACTAAGTGTAACAGCTGAAAGATGACAGTTATATGTTAATCAACTAGAGGACTTTCCTTAAGTCAGTTGATATAATATTTCCTTTACTGAGCTGAATCTGATATATTTTTTAAAAATTGGTCGCGAAATAGATGCTTATCATTCTCCTTATTCAGAGAAGGCGGATTAATAACAATTTACGGAACTTACTGGATAATTTATACTCAATAATTAAGTAATACGTTCATACACCGACTTAATTAAAATCGCTCCAACTTACGAGAGATGATGATCCCAATAAAGATGGAAGGGTTCCTGTTCGTCTAAAGAATTTTTGGTAGGCCTTAGAGGAATAAGGACGTGAGTTATTGGCGCCTGTGACGAAATTTAACCAGGCTCCACTTAAACCCTTCCAAATCGGCCAGAAGCTTATTTTCTTTGCGAGTCATACTTATTATATCTATACCTTAGCATTTTCACGAATGATCGATAAATTTAAAATCTCACACATGCTTTTAATTTATCTTAAAATATGCACTTTTAATTTAACACGACATGTATAAAGGTTTAACAGTGTAGGAATAAGGGAGAGGCCACAGAGGCAGAACATTTCGAACCAAATTGCACTTTTAAATTAAATAAAAAAATATTTGTTTCTACATAAAATGAATTTATGTTATGATGTAATGATATTTATCTTGAAATACTTTTGACTTTTATTTGGAGAGAAAGGATGAAAGAGTAGGCAAAATCAATCTTGCCCCTCATTTGAAAATCCTAGGCCACGATTTAAACAATGATTAGAAGGAATAAATCAGAAAATAGATTACGCTAGAAATAATTTTCGACATTATCAAATATTCTTTATATCCTGTTTCCTTGCGTTATCATAGGCACGAAAATCGAATCAAAATTGACCACAAGATTTTGATTGAACCATAAAATTTTTTTATTTTAATTTTTTATAATTTCCTCCTTTTAAATATTTTCCACAGTAAAATGTGGAGTTAACGTATTTTTTAAGCAGACTAGCAACCTGAAAAAAAGGAGTATTTAATATATATTATTTAAAGTTAAACATCTCTTACAAATTTATTAATTTGAAATATTAAGACGGGCTATATTTCTAAAATTGATTATGAAGTTTACATATTTTTCTTTAACGGTTTTTATCGAATAATAGGATGGAGAGTCAAAAAAAAAAAAAAAAAAAATCTCATCTCCTCTAATTCCAAAATTGTAACACGAATATCTCTAAAAAATTGAAATGATTTCTAGATCGTGGAATGTATCTAGGACGGATCTCTCAAAACAAACTAGTTCATTCTGTTTCTTTACATTACGTTTTTGTTACTTTAAAATATCTTCCTCCCTTGTAAATAAAAACTAAAAACTAAAAAAAACAACTAAAAAAATAAAAATAAAAATGAAGGTTATTTACCTGGATAATGCTTGAGTCCTTCGAGGTAAATAGCGTTGATGTCATCGGTGCGCCGAAGTTCTACCTCCATTGTGTCGTCGCTGCATTTTGTTTTATATTGAACTAAAAAAAAAAAAAAAAAAAAAATAGTTTAATTATTTTATTTTGCAATACAAATCAATAAATGATAATATGTAAACAAATATTTTCTTCAACATTTTTCTTTTTTTCTTGAAAAATTAAGTTCTTTGCAAGAATGTACTAGTTTTTTTCTATTACGATTAGCAATACTGGAACATTTTGTCTGCAGGTTACCCTTTAACGGTCCTTTCATTTGTGAAAGTAGTTTGAAATGTCAAGGAATTCTGGGTTAATGAAGAATAATGGCGTAATATAATAGAAAAGTTATTAAATTTGAAATGAAGGAAGTTCTACTTATTTTTTTTTTTTTTTTTTTTGTGTATGTGAATATTAGTTCGTGGTACACACTCCTTTTTATCAAATTATTAACATTCGCCCGTAAAATCGTAAATAGCTTTATCTCATCGTTAATTAGGTACTAAAAACTCGTAAATACCCATGTGCTTTCCACTCGGATCATAAGATAATTTGATCGCAAAATCTATAAAAAATATGGCCTACAATAAGATTGTGCCATTTGCCCTATCGTTATTTTGCCTCGTTATTTTAACAATCTAGGGGTGTAGGTCCCGCCAAACGGCACAATATTTTTGAAGGCCACCTTTTTTCTCGACTTTTTGTTCAAACTATCTTACGATTCAAGTGGAAAGCAAATTGGTATTTAAGAGTTTTTAGTACTTAATTAAACAGAAAAAGTTTGCCGACCTCCAGATTGAAAACGCCTTAATTACGAGAATTTTTGTAAATAAAATATTTGTAGGTTACGATGAGATAAAGTTATTTACAAATTTTCAGGCGGATGTCAATAATTTGATAAAAACGGGTCTGGACCAAGGACTATATTATTTTGCATAAATCATATTATTTCTTTATTGTTCTTGTGAAATAAAAATTTGAATAATTGAAAATTAATAAATTTATTTATTTATAATTGAAAGGAGTTAGTTGACTGTTCTACATATCACGGGAGATATATAGTCAGTTTTTAAAATTTATATTGCAAACGATTCAACCCAAGCTTGTGGGTCAGCTTCAATGCTGATAACATTCCCTGATGATAACCCACAAGCTTGGGTTGAAACGTTGGCAATAAAAATATTTAAAACTGGCAGCGTCCTGACTAACTATCATCCACAGTTATTTATCGTTGTCCATCTCCTCTGAAGTTATGTCCCAAAATAATTTTGTGATTTTTGTTTTGTAACAATGTAGCTTTATGGCCGTCTAGGAAGGACCTATATGCAGATACGAGGTAGAACATGGTTGCCTTACTAATGTATAATCCAAAACTGCACACTGTCGCACGGCGGGAGAGTGAAATGGCATGATGCTGTGGTCAATCTTTTGATATAGGATACTTTTTTGTTTCATAAGGATTGGAATAAGAGATCACTAAAAATTAAAGTCGTCGGAAACTAGGTATATTAGTGAGGGCATCTGGGAATCCGAAAAATGAATCTTATGAAACAATGTATTAATATTTTTGTATCATATTGTGCTCAACAGACTTATTTACAATAGGCACTCGTAGACAAAGGAGAGAAGACAACAGATGGTGGCGGGTACTTCGTGGAAATGAATCATGAAATCTTAAGAGTAGTTGAAGGATTAAGATGGATTTTCTGACGATTTGGAATATAACGTTGCTATTGGTTGGGTATTGATTGAAGGTAATTTTGAGTTGCTTATAGTTTTGAAACTGAATGGGAATGTAGTTGGGACCCCGAGACGTTCTAGTGTTTCCCACTTGTGGGGTGATTCTTCCCATCCTTCAAAAGACAATCGTTCCTAGGCATATTCCTTTACCAAATCCACTCCCTCTCCATAAGATCTCGATCCTCTGACCTCTATTCACTTTTCACAGATCTGCGTTGTTGACTCCTCCCTAAATTTGTAAACACATTTAAAACACTCCTTTTCTAGTTCCTCTTCACAACTCAACCAGACGCTGGCTAAATATGTATTATGTAACGAGAATTTATTTTTCTTTTTACATTTTTTTTTTGTAGGGATTATGAATACACATTCCATATTACTTTATACAGAGCTCTTTCACACACTTTAGTATAATGTTTATTTACTAATCACATCTTCTGAACAAATATATTTAGGTAGTTATACATCTTTTAAATAACAGAAGTTGCAATTTATTTATTTTATCTTTTTCTTTGGTTGTTAAGAATGTTTTCTTGTATGATTAATTTAATTACTCTATCTCTATCGTTCTGTTTAAGTAGCGAATATTTGATTTCACCTTTTCTTATCTGTCTTTATGTTGCTTTTTTTAGAACTATGTATATACTTATTAATTTTAAAGGTATTTATTTTAATTTCTGCTTATATAATCGGCGGCCAGAATTAATCATCATATGGAACATAGTCCCAGAATAAAGTTGATTTTTCTATTCTTTCTATTCTTGTTAGGTTTTTATAATTTGTATTAAACTAATCACAGAGTCAAAGCTACTTATTTTCGATCTTTATTGATATTTTCAAACCAGATTTAGCTAAAATAACTTTATTTATTTACTTAATGTTCTGTTACTACGTGTTTGATCACTTTCTTTACCAGCTTATGTTATAAACTTATCTTGGAAAAAATATTAAATAATAGTTTGGAATGGCAGTAAAGTGAGGTATAGGCTGACCTATGAGGTCGTTTAAAGTTGAGCGGCTGCCAGTGCGTGCTCCTGCATACTACCCACTCAACTAACGGGACAATGAATCTTGGGGGGTGACAACATTCGAACGTTTATATCTCAAATAAACTTTAGCTCTCCACCGTTCGAGCAGTGATAAAATAGCTTGCCAACACACCACGACCAATCATTATAGACCGAAAGTACCATTGTTGTTATGATTCCTGTTTTTCAACATACGATGGGTTAGTTTTTCATTTATTTATTAATAATATTGTGATTTTGGGAAACAGTCGTCAGGACCAGAAGACTGAGGTTCTACGGGCACATGGTCATGACGAATAGATAAAGGAAGATTTTGACAAAGTTTGCAGCTATAAAAGTATGGGGGGATATTTAAAACAAATAAAAGAGGAACTAGACAGGCTAAAAATCACGGATAAAGATTGCTTGGATAGAGAGCTTTTTCTTAATTAATTATTAAAAAAAACACTTTATTCAGAAATATTACAATTTGTCACAGTTAAGGACACTTATAATAGAGTTCAGAGATTGCATTCATACCGTATATACAAAAATATAAATAAATAAAGTAATAACAAAAGAATAAGAAGAAAGAACAAAAGAGTAAAGAAAAAAAAATAATATATATACACATAAGTAAATAAAAATAGAAATAAAAGTAAAACAAACACCTTATATAAAACATACATTATTTACAATTTGCCAGGTGATCTCCGAACCAATCCTTTCCCCTCCACATGTGGAGGGAAAAGGGAGGCTTAGGAGATCCCTACGCTTCTCCCTCAGCCACTTCACTGGTATTTTAAACCAGCGGAGGATGAGTAAGAGCGCTACAGCCACAGACACTCATGACTTGAGTGGAGAATCTGGCCATTGCTAGAACTCCAAAATATCCATATTTACAAAAGGTCTCGTGGCCACTGCCGCTTTAACCTACGAAGGGGATTGTAGGGATGGGTGGTGCTTGATAGGGATTGTACAACGGGATTTGGGTGATGAGAAAGGTTCTGGTGAAATTTGGAAAATTTGGCTGGGATAAGATCAAGAATAAATGGGATATTAAGGTCATGATGTAGGGTTTTATTGGTTACATAGAAGGGAGCATTGACTATTGTACGGAGGACTTTAGACTGAAAGGATTGAATGCGTTTGATGTTAGAAAATTTGGCTGTTCCCCATAGTTCTAGTCCGTAAGTCCAGATGGGTTTCAGTATTGTCTTGTAGATCAGTAATTTGTTTTCACCAGAAAGTTTAGATTTTCTATTCAGTAGTCTATATAAGAGAGCTTTTTAAGGGAAAACTGAAAGGGGTTGGGGTTCTTGTAGGTGGGAGGGAGAGACGAGGGAGAAAATGGACTAAGGGAGAGGAACAGTCCAGGAGGATGATAGAGTATTGGAGTAAGAGGAAGGCCGATTCGTGTAAAATATATATATATATATATATATATATATATATATATATATATATTGTACAACGAAAGGATATATATATTTTTATTTATCCCTTACCTCGCCATTTCTAGTATATGGGGGTTGTTAAAGAGGTAAAACCAAACTATTCTAACCAGAGTGGAAAGGTCCGCCTATTCTATGTATCCGCCAGGAAATAAATTTCAACCTGGCTCTGCTAGATTCGAGAATGATAAAGCAGGCATAATTTTGTCACTTTCGGCCATGACTCTATGTACTTTCTATATTAAAAATTTCAGTACTATTTAAGGTAGGGTAGACTGGGTGCGGTTGTGAAAATTTTCATTAAATCGTCCATAATTTTGTTAGTATACCAATTAGCACGAAGAAAAAGTTTTTTTGTAATAAATAAATAAATACTAAAATTTTGTCCGTAAGTACGATTTTAAAGTTAAAGGAGAAAATTAGAAAATATGTCATAAACGACCACATCTGAGGAGCAGCTGTGACACTGGCTGGGGTCGATACTGTCGCTTTGACAATACAAAATTATTTTCATACAGAGTAATCACTGCTTTTTAACTACTAATGTTGTCTTATAACAAGGGAAAACACTTATTAATCTATCTGTATATAACAACAATTATTCAAAGAAATCGAATAAAAATAATTACTTTTGCGTGTTAATAAGTAATGAAGTCGTCTACTAGCGTTAGTGTCGCGCGATGGGTGTCTAACACAGGCAGATTTATGGGGGGAGGAGCTTTAGGGCTGAAGCCCCCTCCCCCATAATGGTAAAATGTAACCATGTTTTACAGAAAAAAATATTAAACACTATCTCTTAAAGTATTATTGTCCGTGTAATTATATTTAATAGGACTTCAAGAACCACTTAAACATCATTTCATTA